AGCGCAAATATGTCATGTTGTGTATGATGATTGCAGGTCCAAGACAGCCAGGAAATGACATAGATGTGTATTTGAGTCCTTTGATAGAAGACTTAACACTATTGTGGGAGGAAGGAGTAGATGTGTTTAATGGGTATCAACAACAGAAGTTCAAGTTGCATGCAATGTTATTTTGTACCATTAATGACTTCCCTGCCTATGGAAACTTGAGTGGGTATAAGTGTGATCAAATTCTCAGATACATGCAGAATTGGATGACTGAGTCTAAGAGAGAAATTTACCTTGGAGCATATCATCATTCGTAAGTTATCCTAGCCTCTTCTGGTTTTACACAAACCTTTTTAATATATTCTAATCGTGTGTATATACAGAGACCATTGACAGCTATTAGTTATTTGTCCAAAGCATAATCTTGTGTGTTGGTTCTGCTCATTGGGAAGAAAACCTAACATGGAGCTAAAAAACATTGTAAACGAGTAAGTATTTCTTATATTATGTCTAAACATCTTGATTATTCTATTTCTAAGCCTCTTCTTTTCAATATATAGTGCTTTAAAGGTTTGCAGTACATTGGATGGAAAACACACAAGTAAAAGCACCGCTCCAAATTGGAATTTTATCAAAGTAAGTAGCCTTATATATTATACTATCTATTTTATGTTCAAATTTAATAGTTAATTTGAACATATTTGGTCATTTTTAGTGTAACAAACAAAATGGAGGATACGAGTGCGGCTACTACGTAATGTACTGGATGTGGGTCATCATTTTTGGTAGCATTCATGATAGTTGGAATGAGGTAAGTTGTCATTTGCTATTATATTGAATTCATTTATTTTAATTGCTTAGGATTTACAATTCTTTTTGTTTTCTTCTTATAGGCATTTAAGGATATAGAACATCTGCCTACGGAAACCATAAACATGGTTAGAAACAAATGGGCAGAAAGGTTTGTTCAAGTAGTTAGGAATAAGTTTGTTTGACAATTTTTTGTGTATTGTACATAATTTGGGTGATTTTGACATATATACCTATCATTTTATATAATAATATATAGTGATTAGATGAAAAAAAATATATATATATATATATATATATATATATATATATATATATATATATATATATATATATATATATACGTCAATGACTGAGATTAGCAAGTTGTATATTGTTGGTAGGACTAAAAACAAAGCGCTATTTATAAAAAAAGGAGTATATATAGCATCGGTTATAGCGCTAACTGACGTTATAAGGTTGTCTTCCACGTCGGTTAGTGCTATAATCGACATTGTATATACCTCCTCTCAACGTCGGTTATAGCATTAACTGATGTTATATATACTTTTCAACGTCAGTTAGAGCCGTAGAATTTACTCGTTTTTACAGCGGATATTTGATTAACTGACGTATATTATCAAGACTTTCAACAACGATTGTTTAGAACGGACGTTGAATGCATTCTACATCCGACATAGAAAGGTCATTCTGTAGCAGTGGAAGTTATTCTTAATGTCATGCTCTGCATGAATGCCCCGGCTGAAACCATGACCCTTCTTTACTTAGCTTATAAACAAATTATATATATATATATATATATATATATATATATATATATGATAAAGAAAATTCATTTTTAAATATTATTATCAACATTCTTTTCAAAAATTACTTTTTTTTTTTTTTTTTAATCTCAAGTTAATAAAATATATTTTCTATTTTTATTAATAATAGTTTTTTTTTGTTATATTGTTATTTTTATCCTTATAAAATTATCAAAAAAAAATCAATTTTCATTCTGACTTTTTTAAATTATCTTTTTTTTCTCAAACAATTTTTAAATTAAAATTATGAAACAATTTTTTTACTTATTTTGAAAATTAATCTTATTTAATAAACAAAAACAAATCAACAATCCGCATGATTTCGTGATTTATATTAATTTTTACATTTATATTGTAACCTGACCATCGCAATGAGGGTAATAGTTCAATAAATATTTCAACTTTGCGTCTGATTTCTAGTTAATGATCCCATTGGTTAAAATGAACTTGTTTTGTAATGCTTATTAGTTTGGACAACTATATATTAATTTATAATATTATAATATTAAATAAGAGTTGTTGGATAATGTTTGAGAATTTTGAAGTGCTCACGTATCATTGTTATTATCGATGTGTTACTGATCATGAGTTGTTGTTAAATGTGAAAATAGCTTTCAAAATGATTTATTTGAAAAATAAAGTTGAACTAATACTATTCCATGTGAAAGAAACGAAACCTTTTCAGTTCCAAATTTTGATAATGTATTTGAATTTTTTGAACAAGTAGAATGATAGTCTAATATTTTTGCTTTAAAGTCCATTCAATTATATATATGATTCATTATGAGTCTGAAATATTCATATAAGTACACATAATTTGTCCAGGGACAAGCAATTAACCTAATATTCGTGATGGCTACAAATTATATACGTTATTATTACTATATAAGGTGAGGCACATCTTCTATCTACCTTTAGTACTCTGAGCACTTTATCTTCCCAACAAAAATACCTAGTTGTAAGAGAAAGAGGAAGAGGGTAAAGTTTGTTCCTATCTGTATAAATGACAAAAAGATAGATTGATAATCTAATATTAATAAATAATCATTCAACCATTTTATTTATTAATAAAATAATAATTCTTAATTAATTTTGCGAAAATATATTTTATACCCTAATATAGGTTCAAAAGTTAAATTTATGAAATAATAATTGTCATTGTTGTAAAATAAAACGAGATTGAGACGGAGAAAATTATTCTTTTTCACAATTTTAGCAGTGATAGTTTTTGACAAAAATGATAAAATAGATCAATTTGTTTCATTTTATCCGTCTCATTTCTAGTCTATAAAAACGAAATAGACCAAATTCACAAGTTATAATCAAAACGAAATACAAACTTAGTTGGTCTCGACAAGTTATATATATAAAACTTTTTATACGTAATTTAAAAAAATATTTTTAATTATTTGAATAATTTTTAAGTTTTTATTTATTAATTAATATATTTATTAGATAAATTAAAAAAAAATTATATTTATGTATTAAAATAATTAATTATAATCAATAATTTAAATTATAATATTATAATATATTTATATATTTCAATAACATAATAAAAAATATAATATATTTAATTATAATATTTTATTTTTATTTTAATATATAAATATTTATTTAAAATAGATTAACGGTTAATCTACCCCGCCCGCTCTTGGCGAACCAAATTAGGAGACTAGACATGCCGAAAGAGGCTAACGAATTAAAACTATCGATTCTTCTTAGTCATTTTTAGGTAAGCTGACTAGTTTTATCATATCTAATCTCTGGCCTAAGTGCAATAGCGACAATTTCCAACACAGTGGTTATCTCTGACACAATATCATGAAAGGAAGAATATGCACTATGTCAAGGAAGCTCAGTCAATGAATTTGTGAAACTCTTCCCCTATTTCTATATTTGAATAAGAAAAATTTGTCTCTAATAGTTGAATTTATTATTATTTTTTTTTATGTGATGCCAAACGTTCATTAAAAATGAGTTGTCAAAATAGAGATATTTAGAAAAAAATTTATTGAAAATCCAATATTAATAAACATCTATTCAACAATTTCATTTATTAATAAAATAATAATTAATAAATTTATTGACAACCCAATATTACTAAATATCTATTCAAAAATTTCATTTATTAATAAAATAATAATAATTTTAAATTAATTTTATTTTAAATCAATCACTTTAATATTAATAAAATTATAAAATAAATGTTTTTGTTATGCTCGTGTCAAAATATCAATATTTTAATTTTATTTTAAATCAATCATTTTATGAATATAATATTAAAAAAAAAGTTTCTATAAATATGGTTTTGTCCATACGCTGTGTAAAAATAAATATGTAGCATTCACAGAAATGAAATCACATTCCTATGGGTACACAATTTTTTTTTCTTTACCCGATAGGGGTACACAATTTACTAATAAGTCTTTCGAAGTGTGATGAGTGATTTGATAAACCAGAAACTCTGTCGAATTTTGGATAGCAGTATATTATTGGCCCATGGAAAGGTTTGGTGGTAAACAAAATATTGCTCCCTTATTTAGAGCATGTGAGTATAGATTCCATGAAGGATATAAGGAGATGAAAAGCAAAGAGCTTTTAGCTAGAAGCCAATGAATAGATACAAACCTAACTTCCTTTTTCCCATCGAGAGAGAGAGAGAGACATGTCAAACAGAAACGGACAAGTAAAAGCAATGGAAGGATGAACTTTTTATCATTGGTGCATGAGAGGATGAGGAGGAGACAATAAAGTAGTCCTCCTTCACGTAGCAAGTAGCCTTCAAAAAGAGATGTTAGTGCGTACAACCAAACAAGGCTAATAAGAGCAATTTAAGGAGGCATGCAACTACTAAAATCCAAACCTTCTTTTTGCCTTGTAGTGTTAGTGCTTGCCTATGCCAGAATGAGATGATTCAGTACTGGACAAGTCCTTTCGATTGCCTTTTATGCAGCTTATGTGCTATCTGTTTGTCATTTCTAGCTTTAGAGAATGACCACCCAATCCCGCGGTTTATACCAAACGGTTTTCCTTCAACTTGGATTATAATATAACTTACATTCTCATACACGCACTACACCTCATTTGATGTGTCAGTCTATGTTAAATAATTAATTCATTTCTCATTCTTTAAACTCATTCCATTATCCATTCAATCTATCTGGTTTAGTTAGTTGCCACATACATGGTTACAACGAATTAAATAATCATAGCCGTGCTACTCCTTAGCTTTATATATACAGGAGACCCACAATACAAACCTCTAAATCACCTCAATAATTATTTTGGTTTCACTACTTTTGATCTTGTCGTTACAAGCCTATGTATGGCATTTAGGTTAAGTGTCTAATTTAATGTAAAATCATAACATCTAGTTTTGAGTAAACACAAAAAATGACACGTGGACGAGAGACTAAACATACAACTAGTATAAAGCAAAGAGAAATAGAGTTTTATAATAATTTGTTGGGTTCCAATACCTAATTATACTTTATGAATTAATTGAGGTAGGTAGAAGCCAAGCCAGCGAATCTGGGTGTGCAGAAGTCGAAAAAGGGAACGATATAAAGAATAAAACAGAAACTGTGTCAGTACATGTGATGCAACTGTGGCCACTAGCTAGTGAAGGTTTGGCATGGGGTGCAATGGAGGGTAGAGAGAGACAAAGGCAAAGGCAAAGGCAAAGAGAGGCCCGTGAAGGGTGTGAATGTGTGATCAATGACTGATATGCATGCATGTATGCATATGTCTCATTGGCAGTCACTGAACTGATATACATTATTTCTGACTGAGAAAGACCATCCTCTCTTATTGTCCATTGGATTGGCTCAGTTCCTACATCCCTTCCCATGCAAATTTTAACAGTCTGTAGTAGTGAATATGACAACTATATCATCCACCTTTTTATGCTCCCCTTCTTCACTTTCTGTGGTTAGTACAATTCCCCTTCACCAACCAACTGTGCTGTGCTGATGAAGCCCTTGGATTCTAGCACATTGAGAAGTGAGAAATTACTAAACTCTGTACTTCTCACACCTTTTTTCATTTACAATGTGCTTCATATCGAGAACGCATGTCACACAAACATGAAATCAAAACCCATTTTACTTGCTGGTTCAAAATAAAATGAAATATGTACTGCTTTGAATAATCAATAATTGGGTCCGAAAGTATAGTAAAATAGAATATAATGTAGTGAAATAGAATATAATATGTAGTCACAAACAGAAACTTTTATGAAGTCCAAGCTATGTACAAAAACTTCCATCGTTTACTGACCAATTTGAATGTTTTACACAATCATAATTTCAGAAATATTCTTCATTCTTTTCAAAGAAAACTTGGTATATTTTGTTAGTTTAAATGCATATATAGAATGCATTCATAAATAACTACTTTGTAAATTTTAAAACTTGCTCTTTGTTCAAAGGTGACCAGTCATTAAAAATTCCATCGTTTTAAAGATAAGATATTTATAGTACACTTTCAATTAAGCTTAGTAACTTAAATTTGTTTTCATTAAAATAAATTTTGGATTTTACACCAACCCTTATGTCTCTTTGTCTCTATTCATTTTCTTATCATTTCAGAGCCTAGTCAGTGGCCTTCTTTTCCCTCTTTTCCCGTGTCTCTCCATACGTGTAATAGGTGTGGAGGTGTCAGAGAGTCTTTAATTCTTAATCTCAAGTTTTTATTTCTTTTTTTATTCCACATAGAAAGACACATGGTAGCAATGACTATCTTTATCAATTTGAAATGGCCAAACCAAAACATATCACTCCATTCACCAGCTATAAATACCCAGCTAGAGTTAAGTACTTTCAATTCAACACAAACTACAGAGATAAAGATATAAAAGACTGATAAACAGAGAAAATGGCTTGCAGGGTGCGGAAAAGGATACCACTTCGCAGAAAACTTCACATCCTGCGAGTCCTTACCAACTCAAATTCTGTAATGCAATCTAAAACCCCATCTTTTACAACCTCTCTTTCTCAACTTCTTTCCCATGATTTCAAAAATGCAGTAATCTTTTTTCTTGCACTGAAGTTGTTTCTGTTTTGTTTTGTAGGTTAAGAGAACCTCCATTGCCAAGAGCACAATTCTGCGCTTATACAAGCTAAAGCTCGCCTTGGAAACTGTCAAGAGACACTATGAAAACCTGCTAGCCACCAGAAGGGAGCACATTAACCTATTGAACTATGTCAAAGAGAAAAAGGTATGCTTATTCTCTTCACCTTTTCTCCAATTAAGGCACCCATTAGAAAAACAAGTCCTACATTTAAAAATGAAAATACCCATCATAAATTACACCTTAGATATCCACCATGAATGCTGATATGATTCAAGTAGGGTATATTAAAAAGGGGAGTGTAGAGGGGTAATTTTCGCTCCATCAACTATTCTAAAATTTTAGTTTGCGTCTGTTTCGATTTCACAAATTCGTTCATAAGATGAGAATTGTTGGATGTACGATTTTGATTGTATGACTGGTTAAGGAAAAATCTATGTGCTAGTAACATACTATTCATGAAAATTGTTTCTATATTTAATGTTGCAAGGATATGTGACAGGATGTGAAGATAGAGAAGGTCAGGGCAGGAACTTTTATGGTAAAGGTCACATGTGAGAAGGGGGGTAACAAGCTGGTGGCTATTTTAGAGGCATTTGATGAGATGTGTCTGAATGTTGAACAAGCCAAGGTTTCATGCGAAAATGGGTTTTCTTTGGAAGCCATTGCTCTTGCGGAGGACCAAACCCTGGATGTAAGGGATGTAAGTGAAGCGCTTCTAAAAGCTATTGGAAAGCTGAGTGGTGAAAAGGACTCGCAGAAGTTTGACAAAAGCTGTGATTTGTGACTTTTTCAATTATTTCAGTCTGTTCAACATCTTGTGTATCTCAAACTAGCTAATACCAATTTCACGTTCATCTTTTATATAAACCAATATCACGCAAATAAAAAAATCACCCATGTGGGTATGGCATTTTTTTCTTGTTAATGTCTGACACAGCAGCCCTTGATTCTAAACTGAACTCCATAGACTCATAACGGTGGTAAAAATTATAACCAATGTGCGGACTTTTGCAGCAACAAGTGCAGCAAATCTACTGAATGGTGAGGCATGAATAAAATTCAGCAGAATGAAATAAAGAACAGATCTAAGTATCATTTATAGTAGAATTTGATTTGGGGTTCAGAGAGTGTTGTTCGATAATGTATACGAGTAAACTAACGTACATAAATTGTAAATCCAGTCTTTTAAGATGGTATAAAAGAGTCTATCAAAAGTGACAAAATATATATATATATATATATATATATATATATATATATATATATATATATATATATATAGAAATTTGACTAAACCACCATGTTGACCCCCTTTGACTGGAGCCAACCTGCAGTCTTACATACTCACCACGCTATCCTTTACCTGCTTTCTTTTAACTGCTTTTAAGTATAAACGAGGTGGGGGCCAAGATGTCAAACCCTGTGGCTTCTGGTTTTCTGGTTCTGTTGGATGTACTCTTCTCTTAACATAATCATTCAACTCAATTATAAATGTGTACGGTTAGAGTGAATTGTTAAATAAGTAATTCAAACAAAGTAAATACAAAGAAATCTTACGTAATTATAGAACATAAAACGAGTTAATTTGATTCGTTTGGACTTGATTTTCATCTATTTACAACAAAAAGAAAATGGAGTTGAACTGAGTGAGCCCAATTATAACCCTTGGCTTAGTACCATATGAGGCCATAAGAAAGAGTAATAAATGTGAGCAATTGAACAAACCCAATACAAAATCAATTTATCCTCAGGAGTGTATTTAAGGGAGAGGTTCTCCTCATAAGCTCCTCACAAAAAACTAAGTTCCATTTCCATTCATATAATATACATTCATAACTACCACCTAATATCTTATATGAGATTGTTTAATAAATATATAATATTTTGTTATTTAAATTATTTTTTATTTTTATTTTATAAATTAATTTTTTAGTTTCCAAGTTAAACAATATAAATATGTTCCTTTAATTAATTTTATGATAGTAAAAAAATATTACTAAATATCAAATTTAAGCATAAACAAATTTAAATTACATTTAATTTTTTGATAAACTTTTTTTGAGGTGAAAAATCATAAATAAATATTATTTTTTTTAGGTATAAAAAATAAAAATAACATATTTTTAAAAAATTAGAAAACTGAAATAATAATTTTGTAAATATAAAATTAAAAACAAATGTTTAATGACAGAAGGAAGCCCATGACTTCCAGATTAATAATATAATATATTTAATTTATATATTATTTTTTCAAACCCGTGCAAAGCCAAATCACGTACTTTTATTATTATTAGTATCAAATAAAACCTATTAAATAATTATTTCAAATTTTAAAATATTAATAAATCAGTTAGATTTTCAAGTGTCACTGAAAAGAACTTTTAAAAAATGTTGATAGATTAATAATGTTGATATGAATTTTAAAATATTTATAAATCAGTTTAATAAAATAAAATTTCTTAACATGTGTAATTAATAACCATCACATTTTAAAAAAATCTCATATAAATTAACAATATGAGTTTGAAATATAAAGTATTAAGAAATATAATAGACGGGTATATTCTTTTTAAAAACTGTTTTACAGATATAAATTATTTTAGTAAGGAATTACATTAATTCACCACTAGTACAATAAGAAGTTTTTCAACGATAGTTTGAGAAATTTAATTAATTTTTTTTGTCAGTCATGAGTTATTTGTAGCATGTATACTCAGTAATTGAAAACAAAAGGGAGAGAAAAACAAAAAGATATCACTCTTTAGATTTTCTAAATAAACACCTTAAATTTTAAGTGTGTTCTAATTAATTCTTAAATTTTACTCTTTTGTAAATATAATATCTCCAATTTTATTTATTTTTAAAATAAACATCTTAATTAATTATTTCAAATTACTTTCATTTTAAAATAGTCTCATATTAAATTTGGATTAAGCTATTAACAAACAATGAACATAAAAAATTTATTTATTTGAAACCTATATTATATATTATTTTTATAAATATTTTTCATATTTTAAAGTATAATATTTTTCATATTATATTCTAATGTATGACAAAATGAATTTATAATAAAAATATTGACATTTAACCTAAATAATTTAACTCTAATTTTATATTACAAAGTCATTTATAAAATGGAAAATTTAAAAGATTAATTAAAGTGAAACTAATTTTTAAATTTGTAATTACTATATGTTAAATTTAAAAGAAATAATTAGAATAAAAATTAGTCACGGCACCCCTACTGAATATTTAGTCATAAATTTAAAATTTATGTCTAAATCCCTGTAACTAAAAAACTATGTTTCTCATAGTATACTTGTGAACTAGATAAAAAAAAATAAAAATATTTAACAAAGAACTTTTCAAATTTAGAATTTTTTATTTGAACTTTGGTTGACATGGTTGAGGTTAGATTCCAGAAAAATAAACAATATCCACGTTCTGGTGTGCGATTGAAAAACTGAAAATAAAGTAGTCGTAGTAATTAATAATAGTGGTGGAAAAATCTTCAAATTAAATGCTACTTACAGGTTACATGGATCCGGATTCTGAAGGGCATGTGACTTACATTCCATTGGTTTGCTACCACCTCACTGCACATTGGGATCATCAAATTACATCATTTATTTATTTATTTTCTTATCAAAATCAATAAATAATCTATTTTCTTATTAAAAAAGCATAAAAGTAAATAAAAAAAGAGAGTAAAGAATATAATTGATAAAAAAAAATGATGGTTAAATAAAAAAAGATACAAAATTGGCAATCAGATAACACGGAAAAAACTAATTCTATATAATGTTTTGATAAAAAGAAAAACAAAAAAATATAATTTCCCCACATAACCAAAACAAATCTAGCAATTTTTATCAAAATTAAGGTTAAAAAGAAGAGGACAAAATTGTTCGGCGTGTGGAAGTGAGATGTTTTGGTCCGCACCTAATTTATTATTCGTTAATTTAATTCAACTGCTAATTTATATTAAAGATTGAACCAAAACCAAGAGACTGAGATGTGAAACAACTTCGTCTTCTATTCTTATTCCAAAACTTATCATTGTGAGAGCAAGTCATATAGGATTCAATGTATTTAGTAAAACCATGATATAAAATATGAACAAAATTGTTTATTTGATGCATAAAAATGTGATGGTAATAAAGTTATTATATACAATTAATTTTATACTTTTCTGATAATTACTTTTGTTTATAAAATACGGTGCAATATGCATTAGTTGGATAAAAAAATTAAATTATATTAGATTAAAAAATTTACAATTTAAATTAAATTAAATATATTTTAGTTTGACTAATTTTATAAAATAATAATTATTTTTTAAGTAAAAATAAAAAAATATATATTATAAATTAACTTGATAAAAATTTATTTATTTTAAAAATAAATACGAGATCAAATTTTTAATCATCATTTATTTTAATATTTAATTATTAATATTAATTATTATTATAAATTAATAAATAATTAAAATAATGATGTTAATAAATAATAAATTTTTACTTTTTATTTCTTATTTATTTTATAGAAATTTCCTATTACATTTTTAATTATTATTAGATTAAGAGAATGTACCTTAGGGTTAGAGGTTGAAACTCCAACCACTAAGCTACCAAAATTTTTTGATAATAATTTACAAATAAATTATATTTATATATTTATATATTTATATATTTATATATTTATATATTTATATATTTATATATTTATATATTTATATATTTAAATATTTATATATTTATATATTTATATATTTATATATTTATATATTTATATATTTATATATTTATATATTTATATATTTATATATTTATATATTTATATATTTATATATTTATATATTTATATATTTATATATTTATATATTTATATATTTATATATTTATATATTTATATATTTATATATTTATATATTTATATATTTATATATTTATATATTTATATATTTATATATTTATATATTTATATATTTATATATTTTTATATTTTTATATTTTTATATTTTTATATTTTTATATTTTTATATATAATTAAATATTTATTTTTTAAAATTATTTAATTTAAGAAATTATTATAAATTAATCTAATTATGATTAAATTAAATTATTAAATTATTAAATAAAAAATATTTAAATTTTTAATTAGGTGAATATTTACTAATTGTTAATTTACCGACGGAAATATCAGTCGGTAATTTACAGATGAATTTACCGACGGATATATCCGTCGGTAAATTCATCTGTAAATTACCAACAATTTACCGATGGATATGTCCAGTCGATAAATTTATTTGTAAATTAGCGACGGATATATCCGTCGGTAACTAATTATTATTTTACCGAGGGATATATCCGTCGGTAAAATCAAATTCCACACATATTTTATATCCGTCGGTAATAATTATTTTTCAACAGATTTAAATCCGTCGGTAAATATCCGTGGTAATACACGATTTTCTTGTAGTGTAATATAGATTAGACTAAACTAAACTGTTTGAACAAATCATGATTTTTAACTATATTTTAATGGTTATAAAAGGTATACATTTACATAGATATTTGAGGTAGTTGAGAAGAAGAATGTGTTGCACGTTGTAAGAGTAGTATGTGAAACATATATCTGAAATAAAAGAGAAAAAAATATATTAATAATGTATAATTGAGAAAGTGAAAATCTCATTCTCTAACTTGAATGTTAACATTTGTAACTAGTATATTCAATATATAAGATAACATTTTTATATAACTTAAATTCATAATAAGT